GGGTCAGATCAGGCGCAATTCCCACACTGTGTTCCTGGTGTTGTCCCCCGCAGGGCCATGGGCCAGTGAGGAGCATCTCGTCTCATAGTGGGGTTGGCCATGTGGTCCTCTCTGTGGACTGCAGGCCAGTGAATTTTCATGTAAAATTAGTTGAATATTTTGATATATGTGCTTCACCACAATAAAAAAAGCTGCTATGTAGAAAACAAATGGAGGGTGGTAGAATAGGGAGCCCAGAGACACATGTGGATCGGAGCGGATATGGAGAAGACCAGTTGAGGTTCATTGCACAAGTAGAATAATGCCCTGGACTTACTGGAGAAGTAGATCTGTGGGATGAGGGTGACACCCAGGTTGCTAGATTGAGAGATGAAATACTGGAGGGCCTGCAGATGTGACTGCTCTGTGCATGCCTGGGGTACATTACTGGTGAAGATGATAATTGGGCTCAGACATGAAATGTTAATGTCAGTTTACCAAGTAAAGAAGGTAAAAAGGCACTATGGCAAGAGTTTGGAGCTTTGGACACTTGATATTTCTGTAAAGGGGAGTTTCTTTGGGGCTAGCTTGGGTATAGATTAGGAATGTTGCATTCCGGAGCTCCAAGGTAGGGGAGGTGGTATGGTGTGGTTAAGTGCCATCTAAGTGGCTCTGACCACAAGGACCTTATGCACAACAGAAAGAAACACTGCTCCGTCCTGAGCCATCTTCACAGTTGTTCCTATGCCCGAGCCCATTGTTTCAGCCACTGTGTCAGTCCATCTGCTTGAGGGCCTTCCTCTTTATTTCTGCCCCTCTACTCTACCAAACCTGATATCTTTCTCCAGGGACTGGTCTCTCTTGATAACATGTCCAAAGTATGTAAGATGAAGCTTTGTCATCCTTACCTCTAAGGAGCACTCTGGTTGTAATACTCTAAAGAAAGCTTGGTTTGTCCTTTTAGTAGTCCATGGTATTTTCAATATTCTTCTCCAGTACTGAAATTCAAGTGCTTCCATTCTTCTTCGGTCAGGTGGCTTGGATCAGGTGCACCTTAGTATTCAATGTATAACATTCTTGTTTTTCAATATTCTAAAGAGCTCTTGTGCAG